CGTTTTGTTACGGGTTTGAATTAGAGTACACGTCATTTTTTATAATAAAGCCTAAACAATATAGTTATTAAAAGCAATAATTGTTTGCTAAATATTGTTAAACACATAACAAGTCTCCGCAGAAAGTAAGCTGGGCTCTGGTTTCAAAGGAGATTTCTCGCTGGAATTCCTAGATGGGGTTTTAATTAACGCTAATACAGTAATTTAGATTAATAATTTCATATTCTTGGTTCTTAAAATTTTAAACAAACTGATCGTGACTAAAATGGATAACAGGCAGATATTAAATGTAAACTATGTTATCTGTACAACTTAGTACTGTATAAGATTATGTGGCTATTCTGTCTGTTATTTTCATAAAACATGTTTTCCTAAAAAAAAGTGTGGATGAAAACAGTTTATGTTTGCTTCATATGCTTGGAGACAATTAGGAAACTAAGTGGCCACATTTTACTGTTTGCATCTTGAATGTACGGGTAAGGCTGTCAGGTTGTTTAAACATAGGGCCCACGAAGTTGAGTCAACCTTCTAGACTCCCATTAATGGCTAACCGGGTCGCACAGTGGTTAGAATGCTGGCCTTAAATATTAAAATGATCAATTGGACAGTAGGAGAATAACCTCTTGACCCAGTCGTCATTTGTGCAAAAGTAGGCTTGTAATAGGATATCAATTATAAATGTAAAGCAAAATATCGACTTTTGAAGACAATTCCAGAGTTTCGGCCGATGGATTACAATTAGCGTTAAAAATTCCTCCTTTAAAACCATAAAAAGGTGAAAATACCCTCGTCATTAAAAAATTCAATATTATAAATACATACTGTCAATTTATCCACCAATATAAAAGTGTACCTCAAAACCTTGTGATGGTTTGGTATATAATATTATAAAATGAACGATTAACATTTTACACAACACAAAATTAGAAGGATATTAAGTTTCTATATAAACCTTAAAACAGCCAAAGAGTTTTATGATGTAAATTTGCTATTTTCATAGAAATATACTCATTAGAATTCTAGGAATTTTTACAAAACATAACTAACACCAATGCACTACAGCTCCACTATTGTTTGTCAATGAAACATACATTTCGTAGATGTAATAAATTCTGCAATTACATGGGATACGTGTCAGATAACAGTGGGAGAATATTTGTTCGATCAATAACAATTGCATTATGCTGACTGTACATTAAACAAACAATATAAATACATAGTCATGACTCAGATTTACTGGGCTAACAATACTCTAGTTTTTAAACCTTAAGATCAGATTATATCATAAATAAATTACGTATCAATCAAATTAGTTTTTCATATTGATACAGAGTAATTTTTAGGCACCTGAATTTATTATTTTTACCTTTGATGGAAATGCTGCCAATCTGAAACTACTACTAATCTACTAACTTTAATCTGAAAAAATCAGTAGAAAATGTTAAGATTGTTTGGGTAGACGAATGGTTATAGTGCTTGTCTTCAAATTGTATGTTTGCTGGTTCAGTTGCAAGTAAGATTGTTACCGAATCCAGATGCCATTTGTAATTGGACTATTAGTGATTCCTTGGCCATTTCATGATGCTATCTAACAAAAAGTTGAAGCTAGGTAGTAAAAAGACCAGGAATCAGACTGTTACCTTAAAAAGAACGTAAAAATTCCCAATGGTGTAATTACGATGTATATAACCAATCATAGTTAAGTTTGGTAGAAATCTATAAAGAAATATTCCACTATTTATATAAGTTAACGGAGTTATTTATTTTCTTGAACGAGTTAGGGAATCAAGCCTAAACAGTATTTTAGACCTGATTGTACATATTGAAGTATAACATGTAAGTTAAATTTAATGGATTGAGCTGTAATGGGTCAAAATTATAGAGGGGTTAAGTTTTTATATTTATTATTTAATTATCAGTAGGCCTATTCCTTACCTGGTTGGTGATAGTGGTAAACCTATCATGGTAAGGTAAATAGGCTGTTCTAGGCCTATCCTAGGGTTGAAGTAGGGATAACCTCACTTTTGGCAAAATCACTAAAGACACTATTTTTGAGATTCACAAGTCACAGTATTGCATCGTTGTGTACAAAACGAGTGATAAACCGTTTCCGGGTAACCCCCATACCTAATATACACCTTTGGGAAGTACGGTCAAAGTTGTTGTTTAGGCTAGGGTGGTGAACCGCGATCACGAATACAATATCACGTACATAACATGCATACACTTTGTCGCACACTAAGCTACACGTCACGGGTGGAAATTATACTTTTTGTTTAAACCAGCAATGATATTAAAGTTCTGCGTATAATTTCACAGTCGGCGCAGGTGCATAACAACATTAACAACATAACCTGTACTACTAGTCGGCTGTCTTGGCGTTGTGTTGTGACAGCGCCAAGTTTGAACTCGTGACGTCACCGATCAGCTGGGAGTCGAATCAGCTGATTCTCCATCCCTAGAGGATTAGGGAGGGGGAAAGAGATGATCCCTTGCGGGCTAGGGATGCGAGGGTGATTCTAATTCTGCGATTTCCAGTGTTAGGACGTGTCTTGCTTTGAAAGAGTGATTGCTTTAGTGATTTTGCTAAACGTGTGTTTTAGTGTGTCAGTGAAGATCCCTGGAGTATACAGGTAATTCGCCGGCTTTATCTTAATAGTGTGTACTATTATTTTTTATTATTTAGCGATAAACCCTCATTTTATCCTTTTAGACATAAAACTCACGGTAGGATCTTTGTCGGGTGTTAGAACTTGTATAAGTCCGCTTTAGCGTATGCTAGGGCTCCCGTGGGTGGCAATAAAGAGTTTTAGGGATACAAATTTCGTTTAATATTGTGTTTACAATATATATTGAGGGTGACGGGGTTTTAGCGAATATTTTGCCGGGATATTCAGTAGGTGTTGAACTGCTGCGGCAAAGCGGGCAAAATTGAACCCGTCTCTGCAGGTCGTGCAAACACGAGGTCGGGTGAAGCACGCTAAGTATATTCAGAAGAAATATTCTAAGTGTTGAGGTTGACGAAACTGCAACATTAAATTGTTTCAAAATTTCGTTGAATGGTTTTTCATTATTTTTAAATTTAATTTAATTAGCTGTTCCCAGGTGTGAACGATGATGATGGTACAGTAGCGTTGTTGGTTACCGGTACTGAGTTCACACCTGATTCACACTACATTTTTGCGTAAATACAAATCTGTACCTGTGCTAGGTTGTGGAGTTAATTAAACAAATTATTTTATCTGAACCCTGGAAACTTCCCAGCACGCCGACTTGAGCGATCCGCTGGCGAGAGTTGGTGACGTCTTTCCCGCTTTAACTACGGAATAGCGCATATATTCCGAGCGGGAAAAACGGCACGTTACAGAGCAGCACCAAAACAATTATATTGGACGTACAGAAATTCCTAATGTGAAATCTATAATAAATGCATAATGAGTGTCTGTTTAACAGGATGTGTTTATACACAATATACTCAATAGACGGGAGAAACTCATGAGAAACATGGAGCTTTGATGTTTAGATCGATTGCTTCTCTAACCTGTTTAACATCCATCTCATCATGTATCTCAGTCCATGACTTGGACTCCAGTACTCTGAAAGAAGATTTATTTGTTTTATAAAAAGTGTAGGCATGCCGTTATAATAGTTTGAAATTATGAAAAAACTAAAACCCAGCATCAATTATTAACTTTCAGTGCAACATAACTGCTATAGTTTTAAACTAGAACTTCTGAAAAGAAACATTTTAATGTTACTGCCTCTGCCTAAATGAGCTTTCACTTAAACCATCTGTGATGTCTGTTGGTTACCCGGTATTTGTTTCTTATAAGTTTCATACTGTATCAAGGCATGGTCATTTCTTTAGTATTAAATTTTAAGAAAAAAACCCAAACACAAATTCATTTTTTGTCCAGTCAATTCGTCACATAACATTTACAATATACCAGATATAATGAAACTTGCTAGCATATATTTTACCAACCAAAAATATACACTAATGAGTCAAAGGAAATTTAGGTTTTATCAAAGCTAATATGAATTCAACCATTAGTATATACGTTTTACAGGAAAGTTCTATTATCACCCCAATCAGTATCTCTACTCCATTTGGTTCATATTCTGACGGTTTCGTAAATAAATTTCTGATTTCGTTACAAAGTAGTAAAATAAAATCCTGGTATTTTCTCAGATTGTATTTTCTAAATAATTGTTTTAACAAATTTAATATACTTTAGACCCTTTTAAGGCTGATTAACCTTTAGAAAGCTAATGGGTTGTTGGACTTTCCTGGTAATCTATACTTAGGTTGAATGAAAAATTAAATCTTTCAGACATTATTTCTGGATCTATGTTAAAAGAAAACGACCGTTTATCCAAATGATACGTTATAACAAACACATCTTGGAGGAAAGCCATGCTAAATAAAGGGTCCCATTTTTTAGTTGTGTATTACACTATCAAAATGTCCCTTTCCAAGTTTGAGGTTTAATACTCTATGTAAATTACCATCACAGATTACTGTGGCGTGTAGACTAAGCATATCCAGGCCAGGCGAGTAGGGTCATTATCCGGTTGTATGGTCAATCTTCATTGCTTCAATCTGTAAACACATGGTACAGATTTTAAAACCATCTCAGCTCCTAAAGCAATGATGGTTTGAAATAAATTAATTTTAGTTCTTTTACCAAGTAAACCAAAAGAAGTTATACATTCGAATAGCAATGTATTAACATTACTAGTTATTTGTACAAAATATATCTAACTTTAAAAGATGTACATTTTATAAGTATGTCTTTGCAGAAATTTGACAGTATAATTTACTAGACAGTTGCATACTAAGTATTATTGTTTAGTTTTAAATGTTTATTGCTTTTGAAGTTTCTTACATTACAATAGCAGTAAGTTTTATGATTTTTTACTTTATAAACATTTGAGAAAGAAATATGTGTTTTAGAGCAAGAAGTAAAGTCTTAACAATTTGTTTTGTGTGATTTCAGATACTTGAAGAGTTTGCCAATTTGAGATAGTTTCCTCTTATTTACTTCCCCTACTGGTGAGTAAGTACCTTTAATATGTTAAACCACAAAGATTTTTTCCTAATTAATTTCCTTTCTAGCCCCTGAGGTTTATACTCAATTTGAACAATAGTCTTACATACCTTATCATCAGAAAAAAACAGCTAAATTATCACACAGTGTTGTTTACATGTTTCAGCTTGTATCCGCAATTTTCAAAACATTTCAGTAAACAACTTTCAGTGTCTACAACGGATAACAAGCTTTCTAACGAGTTCATGGGGCTTTAACTACTTATAAGATTACATTCGCACAAATAAAAGGTTAAAAATAAGCCGATAATTATTGATCATGGCTATGTTCTATAGGTTAGATAGGTAAAACAGTAAACAAACTAGGATCATTTTAAAATATTACAGTCTGCATTAACTTTTTTTACTTAAATGTAATCCGGAGGTTGCACAAGTTTTTTGGAAAGATAAAATTAATAATGTGCACGGTTAAATACATTAATGCTTTGCCTCACACAGCTGTAGACATTTTACCAAATGTCAAATATTTAACACAATAAAGCTAATAAATTTCTATTATTACTAATCCATATAAAACTTTGCCTAAAGGTTTTAGAAATGTATACAATGTGTGGTAATTTCATAGAATATATGGTTTTTTGTTCTTTGCTAATAACATATGCTCATTTTCATAACCATAAGGTAAAAACATAGGTTTGGTGTTAAACTTTTAACTCTTACAAAACAGAACAGCGTTCTATATTGTATTGTTGCTATTGAGCCCCCCAACCAAAAAGTTAACAACCCGTCGTATTCTTTAGAGACACCCTGAGTAACGTTACCACGAGATTTAATTTATTGCCACTATTGGATTCTGTTTGGTTACAATCAAGTTTTATTTCGTTCAGTTCATTTATTAACTTAAATGTTTAAGGAGTTTCCAAAAAAATGTCCAATATGTGGATATTTAGTTTTTTTATTTTTATCTTAGAGTAGACTCTAAAAAAAATGTAATTTTAACTGTCAAGTTTAATAAGTAAAATAAAAAAATACTCTATTACAACGAGTCTAAGTGGGTTATCTTGGTAAATAAGAGAAATACTTGTACACTCAAAATGAATTCAATAAAAAAAAGAAATAATTTATAAATTTTCTATCTAAAATTTTGCTGAAAACATTGCAATTAGACTTGTCTATAATTATCAAATATTAAATAATCACTAATTTGCCAAAAGTGGTCAAATTTTCTAAATATGGGGAGTTGGTCTTAGTGGATATAAAAAGGTTTACGCTTTTCTTCTCTACACTTATATTTAGCATAAACTACACGAACTACTCATCATAAAATAATACCATGCATTAAAATATTAAATGTTAATAAAAATTAAGCATAACTACATTATGTTGACAATTTTTGCTATGCCAAAAAAAACTAATACATAAACATATTTCATAACACGACTTTAAGAATACAACTTTAATACACCCAAACCTAGGAAGTGAGCATTGAGTATACAACCAGGATAATGCTAACCAACACGACCTACCTGGTGTGCTTAGTCTGCACGCTACTGTGATTTGTGGTGGTAATTTACATAGAGTATAAAACGAAGCTTATGTAAGAAAAAAAATGTTGATACTTACCGAGCTCTGACACAATATTTTAACCAGCTACTTGAAAGTTTAATTCTTTAAAATAAACACAATCGAGTGTTATAAATCCTAGATGTTAAGGACATTTTCTTTTTACAACACCACCAATCCATCATTACCATTTAGTGTTATTGGAAACATATTCTTGTATTCTTGCGTTAAATAATAGTCAAAACATTTTTCGATTTAGTATGAACGAAAAAACTTTATTCCTGTTTGGTTTGATACTTGGATTTTGACTTTGACCGTATCAGTGCGTGTATGATTATTATTCTAAATAACCTAATGAAAAGTTATTTATAATCTGCAATCATTTTTAGATTACAAATAAAAAGGAAATTATAATTTTAAACAATATTTAAACCCGATGTCCGTTAAAACATAAAAAGGCAATGCGGAAACCAACTCTGCTTAGCTTTCCGTATTTTGAGTTTCTTGCAAAGGTTTCTTTAAAAATCATTTATCCATTAATTTTTTATCTCTAATCTATTTAACTAATATACAGTATTTTATAAAAATAAATATATGCCAAATGCTGATCCTAATGTTTATCAATACACTTTACAGTATGGGAATAAAGCAATATTTTCATAAGTAGAACTAACTGTACTACTCAATGGGTAAAAGTAATGCATCTATTATAATTGTAGTTATTGTAGTTAAAACTCTGTATACCCCTTCAAAATACCATATTTATCACACAAACTGAAAAACTTATATTTAATAAGACGAAAACTTAACCGAGTTTTATAGATGTACCATCTAGTTAAAATATATTTTAAGGATAGTAGGCAGAAGCTAAAGCCTGACCTTTTATTCTATTTACCGAAAGGCATGGCGTCTTTGATAATGATTTGACATATTTTCCGAAATACGCATATACACTACTACGAACAGGGACGTATATAAATATAGTTTTTTTTATAATGATATTTATTTTAATTTAATAATTAGTGAAAATAGTTTTACAACTTTCTGTAGCTACAAGATACCTGTGAAATAGGAGATTGGGCTCATACTTTCAAACGTGCATATTTCTAGCTAAGCACGTTCATAAGAACGACTCATGTTTATCAAAATACGTAATACCACCTATTACTTTAGTCAGTCTATCTATTTATTATCCGCAAGTAAAAACCAGCAAATGATGAAGCTTAATCACTTATAATTTACGCTCAGAAACGGTAAAATATGTACTAAAATCTTACATAAAATTTAGGAGATCATTACTTTTATCTGGTTAGTTTTTTTTAACAAATCCCCAAAGCCTTCTTCGCTTATATATAGTATTAATTTTTATATTAAGTACTTATTTCTGTGTGTGTAGTATAAGCCCTAATAAACGTAATAAGAAATGCCGTGTTTGTCAAACAATGTTTATAGGATGAAGTATAACGCAAGATGCTGGCGTTATCTCAAATGGCTGTCGTAAAGTTAAGACCTTGCCAGGGAATACTTGCGGATTATTACTTGAGAACATTTACAGCTTGATGGATTTATACATTATCTTACTACAACCCACATGACAAACAATATGTTACAGTATAGAATGTAATAATTATTGTAGTAACTTTAATTGAAAACTAACGGTATTAATTGGCAAAATAGTGCATTGTGAATCTATTTACTGTATTTGTATTATGACTAGTGGGAAGCTAGGAAAACTATCTAATGCTTGATATGGTGGGGAGAGGACAGGTTTTCAGCCCTGGAAATGCAAGTTCAAATCTGATCAATCGCCAACTTTTAATCTTTGTTATGATCACCTGTTTGTTTAGTTTTCATCTAAAGCCGTGTAACTTTTAGCCATCTCTTTTCCTTTGGAAGGCATATTATGTTACATTAGATTTTTTCATCAGTATTAAATTCACACATCGTTGTGAGAAAGACTTATCTAAGTCCATATTAATTAATGTATTGTTAAAATATCGTATACAATGCAAAGCAGTGTTTTAAATTTGATGTAATTCAAAAGACTGTAATATAAATGACACTAAACTTCTAAAAAACATATATTCTGTAACTCTGCTGGATATTCCTCTTGTCAATAATAATTATTTTTGTCTTAAAGGGTAATTGCCAATTTTGAAGATTGAGAAATGTAAATGAATAATACAACTTTTATTTATCCTGGTGTTGGAAGGTATCTAGAACACTTAAACTCATCGCAGTTGCATAGGTAAAGCAATAACACTCACAGATCTATGAAGGTTAATATAAAAAAAAACCTTTATTATGTACTGAAGAGAGCAAGCAAACAATAATTCATATGAAACATAAAATTTAAGATAAAAACTTAAAACTACCTGAGAAGGATATATTGAAACTAATTTGAACTATGGTAATGAGTTAAGCAAACTCGTTATAAATTACCCAACATTTTTACGTAATATATACTCCTTTGGATTCCAGTTACTGCTGAGCCCTCAGGTACTCAGGTACCCTCAGGTTACTAAAGAGAAAAACTCCTGAATTAAGTATTGTTTGCAGATACTTATTTAGCATAAGACTTGAAGTTTAGCTATAAAGTTTAACACATTTTTGTAATGTGTTTTCTTAAGAACTTTCATTTCACATGTTGTTCTAACCCAGAATGTGTGAAGTTCTGGTGTGGAGTAGTTAAGAACAAGCATTACACTTATAAATGCAGTAGTTTCGAAAACTCTTCGAATCAGGGAACTTGCATGTGATAAAGCCACAGTGTTTGGATAAATATAATTTTCAAATACCACCCTGAATATCGTTTTACAAGTATAATAAAATAATACAATATTCATAAACTGAATCATAGAACTATATGTGTAGATAGCTAAAATATATAAATATTTTCAACACACAAAAAAAAATCAAAATGTTTATTGAAGACATTTTCCATCACGATGATAAAAAAGCAATACACAACGTTACGGGATCCGAAATCTAATCCTGTGCACAGGTAAAAAAACGTAACTAACACATTACAACTAACAATACACAAACACCCAACCCAAGTTGGAATACACTACAGAGAGTAGCAGTAAATAATATCATAATATGCACTGTAAATTTTGACTGCTACTCTCTGTAGTGTATTTTAACTTGGGTTGGGCGTTTGTATATTGTTAGTTGTAATGTATTAGTTAAGTTTTTTTCTCCTGATTACGGTATCAGATTTCAGATCCGGAAAAGTTGTGTATTGTTTTTTACTATCGTGATGGAAAATGTCCGCAATAACCTTTGAAAAACAATAACTCACTATCACAAACAATGAACTTCAAACAAAATCGAAAAGAGCAAAATTTACCCATTGAAAAAAATATATTGATAACCCATGTGAAATAAAAAAATAAACATTCATTGTGTATCATTTACTTTGTAAATATTTTCGTGACAGT